AGACCAATGTGAGAAAAAGCAACAAGTGTGGGTATGAACACTGGAAGGAACACCCAGGACCCAGGTTCAAATCCCACCTCCCTCCCTCTCAGCCCTTAGTGAAGGCATCTGGGTTTTAGCCTCAGGTTTCTCCCCTGAAATGGCAAGTACATTAGCAACCACCAGGGATTAGTGTGAAGAGAGCATGTGTAAAGTTTCAGTCATGTTGAAGGTGCTCAATAAATGCGAACTGTTCTTTCTCCCTTTTAACAGATATTTTAGAAACTGAAAACACTTCAGAGTATCATCTTTACCACACATAGTTCCTGTGAGAGCTAAACCATTCAAAAGAACCATAAGAATATGGGTAAGGTCTAAATACATCACAAGGATTAAAAATAAATCCCGTCTCATTGTCTCGACAAGTATTACTAACAGAAAAACTTTTTTAGGGCTGGAGAGCTCACTGCAGGTCTAAGAAGGATGCCACGTTAAAGCAGCATCTTGGCTCTGCAAACTCTCCTGCTAGGGACCCTTTCCCTTCTCAGAAACAGCATGGAAACAGTGGTTCTGCCAGCCTCTCCTTGCAGCAGCCTTGCTGTTCCTGTTGAATAATCTTAGAGCAATTGTGCACATAGCAGCACCCAGCAGGTTGCGCAGGCAAGAATTCTGAAGATGGCAACAAATTATCAGAACATTATTGCTTATCTTTGGCCTTGAGATGGTTTGAAAGCATGAAACCAATCCCTTTTTTGTTAACTTTACCAAGCTTGTTAGAGAAAGGCAGCCTTTTCCATTTGACATATTTGTTTCATTAAAGGTTGAGCGACTTGGCCATGGACTTGGGCTTGACTCCCCCATCTTTACCCCAGCCTAGGCTCTCTCTACTGCAAACAGCATCTTCTGGGCCTGGACTCCTACTCTATACCCCTCTTCTATATATTGCTCAGTGGGGTATTATCAACTTCATTCCCAAGGTAGCAGACACCCTGTTTCTTGCTAGATGAGCAGCTATTGGAGAGATTCTTCACAGAAATAGAGGATCTCAGATGCAGACATTTACTAACCAGCCAGTGATGTCAAGATCACTGTATTTACTCCTTTCCCCCTCAATTAGTCAGTGAGGACCAGGCAAGGACCCAGAGATCACCATCTGGCATATCTCTTGCAGTTCTGATTTTTCAATGTGTCTGCCCCTGTGGACTGTGGGCAATGATTTCCACACTCACTGACAGGTTCCCCCTAAAACCTGGAGGGAAAGCTAGACACATGGCTATGGGGAGAAGAGGGGGCTGTGACCCTCTCTTTTACACTATCAGTACTAACAATCACTGGCTTAGAAAAAGCCCCTTTTAAGTAATCCTTTCAAATTGTTCCTTAAGAGAACAAATGAGCTTGTAACCTAATATGCAAATACTACATGCATATTCATGTATGTGCATGTGATATTTGTTCAGAGCTGCTAGATGCCACGGACTTTTCCAATCTTGATAAATGTAAAGTGGTCATGTAAGAAAATGACTTTATTTTTAGCAATACACACTGAAGTATTTAGGGAAAAAGGGCTATCATGTCTGCAACACTCAAATGGATCAGAAAAATGTAAAGTATGAAAGAATGCAAATGTGACAAAATGTTTGTACTCTTGCAACTTTTCTGTATATCTGCATTTTTGTAAAAAATGTGAAAGAAATGAATTCCACTATTATGTATAACTATCATGCATTAAAAATATTACAACAGTAAAAGAAAAAATTATATACACTTATTATTTTAATATATTTATACACATACATACACACATATATATATATGCCAGGTATATTCTAAAAACAAATAATGCTGCGCATGGTGGCACATGCCTGTAATCCTGGGGACTAGGGAGACTCATGAAGGAAGATCACAAGTTTGAGACTAGCCTTAGCAATTTAGCAAGACCCTGTCTCAAAAAATAAAAAGGGCTAGGTATGAAGCTCCATGGTAAAGCGCCCTGGGTTCAATCCCAAGTACAAAATAAAAATAAATAAATAAATGAAAAACAAATAATGAAAATACAATAACCTATTCACAAACAGAATGTAACTAACACCTTTGAAGCTTTGTATGTTCAGTTACTTCTTAAGTAGGACATGCACTTACTATTTAGGTTCAGGCAGGCTGTCCTCATTTTACTTTCTCAGTAACATATAGATAATGCAGAGTATCAGTGAAAGAATACAAAGCAGTGGCCCACGGAATGGAGCTCAGGAGAGGTGGGGGACTGATCTGTTTCACTTTCTCCTCAGGCTCAGGGTCACAGCACATGGGACATATGGAACCAATTTGTATTAATTTAAAAAACTGGTGATTTTGCTTTATAAGAAGTCATCTCAATAAAATACTAAGTCCCATTGGCAAAATGGGTTTGGAGTTACATATAACTTCAGGAAATGATAAGGGTGAGACCTCATGCCTAACTGGTTCACTGATTCATCCCAGACTGTCTGCACACAGTAGGTGCTCACTATGCACCCATGAGAGAACAAATGAATAGAAGCTCCTGCAGAAAGCAAGGGACCTCAGTAGCTGGGTCTTAGGTTCTGCTTTACTTCATTTGATCATTTTCTTGGTTTCAAGATATCTGGCAGGACTATGCAGCAGTAGATGTCTTTGCTAAGCTTTTTGAATCATGTTTTGATTTTAAGAAGCCCCGAACAAGACCCTGTATGTGTCATAATAGTTTGAAAATCACTTTTTAAAGTGAAGTGCTTTTGAAATGTTCTTAACCACTCACTTTTCTACATCTTGGTAAAATGCCGTTCTTTAGTCTACATGGCTCCTTGAATGCAGGCTGTTTTTGAAGTGGTGGTGTCTGAATTCCTGGTATTATTCTACAAGCTACTAACACAGTGTAAGAGATAAAATAGCACTGACATAAAATAAAATGCTCCACTTTCTATTGTATGTATCTTTAAAGAAAATGCCTAAGAAATAAAAAAGACAGTGACACATTGCAAAGCATTCTGCCTGCTGGGCAAATCAGAGATTTATCATCCTGTGGTCAGCTTCTGGGTTCTGGGGAATGCTTTTTCTGTTGGAGGGGAAGGTTTGTGAGGGCGTTTTTTAAAGACTTTCTATGGCTTCCACACTCGCTTTCCTCTTCCTTTGGAGATCGGGACTAAAGGAAGTGGGGGAGTCCAGACAGGGTCTGGGTTGGGGAACAAGACCCAAGTCAGAATCCTTCAAGCCGTCACCTTACTTATGTTTATTCAAGAGACCTTGGGTTAAAAAAACTATGGAAAAGGAACCTGAAGAATAGAGAAATCCAGAAGGGGAGGGGACTGACACAGGCAAGCCTTGGACATTAAAAAAAAAAAAAAAATCACTGCTCCCCAAGGGAAAGTGGGGAGTCACACCAAATCACTTCTCCCATGTGCCAGGAACAGAACTAGCTATTACAGTAAGAACAATTATATTAAAGGTGACTACTGTTTATTGGCTACTAGCTCTGGGTTGGACACTGTGTTAAGCACAGACGTTTTCAGGACCGACAGAAGTGGCCAGACAGCCTGTAAGGCTGGGTCCACCCAGGGCAGACACAGAAGGTGCACAAAGCCTGCTGGCTGGCTGAGGACTTCTGAGCCTGCTGTGGATATGCCAATGGCCTTTCTATTGTGAAACACACTTGGTCACTGCCCTCAGGAAAGTCATAGTCTGGTGTAGCAGTTTTCAAGTGTGGCCTGGGGACCTCCCTTTGAGGGGTGGGAGGTTCTGAAGTAAGAAATTATCTTCATGATGCATGAAGCCAGCATGTGGTTCTTGCTGTCATGAGCCCACAAATGTGCAGAGGCCGACTGACGTGACTGCCTAACAGCCCAGAGCAGCTGTGGAAATGGAGCTGGCTTCTAGCTGTAACACAAAGAGGCTGCAAAACCACTAAACTATGCCACTTTGCTTGCTGATTTTGTCTTTTAATTTTGGAAATGATCATACAAATGTTTATTATTTTAAAACTAATGAATAAATATTTGTAGGTTCCTGTTTAAATTCCTAATACAGTAAATAGAAATAGATACAAAATCCCATATAAATAAATGATTTCCGCGAATCTCAAAACTCATGAGAATACAAAAGGGTTCTAAGGCCATACAGTTTGAGAACTGTGGTTCCAATGATCACAGGGCAGAAAAGGGGCCTCTGTAAACCTAAGCTTCCAGAGGGTTCCACGAACCAGGTTTCATTGAGGGATCAATGGTGTCTGCCTGGCTCTGTTTCTACTATGATACACCTGCCCAGAGTTCCCCTCAGCTGTCTCACCTTTACTTCCGTATGGTTCTGGGGGCAGATCATAGGGCACTGGAAAAAAGTCTGTTGCCTCCCGGCTGCCAGAGAAGAATTTCTGTTTCACTTTGAAGCTGTCCAGGCCCTGCAAACACATGGAGGGAATCTATGATTGTACACCATTTCCCGAAAGAAAACAAGAAAACTAAAACCAAACTGAAACAAATAAAGAACCTGGAAGATCCCAAGAAGCAATCATATCTTTATGACATTTACAACAAAATATAAATGACTTCAAAGCTATTTTCAATGTTTGATAGGCAAATATATTTAACAACTCCTCCCAATTATTTTCTTCCCTGAAAATAAGATTTAACATTTTAAGAATTAAATTAAAAGCTTGCAAGAGTTTAACAAAGGATACAGAGAAACAAGAGAAACAATTCTGGATATTATAGCCCATTTCTACTAAACACCATGTACAGTTGGCAGGGAGTTTTAGAACTCATTGTATAAAAATACCTCAAATGTTTTCAATATTGCTATAGTAACAGGCAGCCTGTCCTGAGAAAGAAGAAGTAAAAGTTGTTTTCATGTATAATGGAAGTGCTCAAGTTAATAGGATAGGAATAGAAAAATGGAAATTCTTCACGATCCATCACAATGGAAAGTTTATTCCAAGAACTGCGGAACAAGGTATCAGTCTTAGGTGTGAGTCAGGTGGAGGTGGAGGCTCTCTCCAGGCTGATATGCGCACACCCTGTTTTCCTCTCACTGACTAAGACATCAGTGCTGTCCTCTGGGCCCCACACATGGGCTTTTTTAAAAAAGAAGGCTTATTGCTTTGCTAGCAAAGGAGAAACACAGGGAACTCCTGTCCCAGAGGCTGTGATTCTGCCCATCAGCAGGAACAGGGGGCTTTTAAAGGAGGTGATTCAAAGGCTACATTCCATGTGTTCTCTGTTGGAGTCGTAATTCCCTTGTGAATTTGGGAGACAGTCATTTGTGAAATCTTCTGGTGCTATCCCTAAAGTCTGGATTCCTTCATTTCTTCAGAGGAGCAGAGAGAGAAGAAGAGATAGAAACATGTCTATTTAAAAAATAAGTTGCAGTGGCAGAGAAGCGAGGGCTATATTCAAAGCATAAAGTGGACCCCTGCTAGTTTCCGCACAGTTAATTTCCACATTCCATTTCTGTGGGAAAATGGGCGACAACATCTCCAAGCTGCTTCCTGCTGAAAGAGGGTAGAGTTGGGGGAAGTGGCCCAAAGTCCTTGTTTTCTACCTTGGATGGGGAGGTGGCGTGACAGCTAAGGGCATTCAGTACCAGAGCAGTCCAGAGGTCCACAGTGGCAGATGGCAGGTGACTGGACAAGGCATACAAAGGGTAGGGATCATGCAGATGGCCAAGGGTGTTGCCACCTTCCTGAGTTCAGTTTCCTTTTGCTCAAGGTGGATCACAATGGGGCAAACTGTATCATTCAGAGAGAGAAAGGGGGAGCTCCCCGAAGCAAAAAGAGCTTTGGCAGCTGCTGGGACAGTCCCTCGGGCCCTCCCTATACTTGCAGGAACAGCTTCTCTGGTTCAACTGGAGGCAAACTCCCTGATCTCCTAACTCTCCAGTAGCTGGCTCTCAGCGAGTTCTCCAGCACCTGGCAACCTCAGCATGGACCGGGTTCCTCGGAGAGCCAGGCCTGACCAAGAAAGTTGGAGCTGGGACTGCTCTTGGGTCCCATCTGGGGTGCCAAATTTGTTACTGAAAGCTCAGTCCTTGTCCCCAGTGCCAATACAATAAGGAGGACATAATTTTGAGAAAAAGGAAAAAGGTTTATTGCTTTGCTAGCAAAGGAGAAACACAGAGGAATCCTGTCCCAGAGGCTGTTGAGTCTCCACCTGGGTATCTTCTGGGCCCTCCTGGATCACCCTGGAACTCTGCTCGCTAGTTTGCCTGTCTCTCATTCCCACCTTCCAGCGTCCAAACACAGGTTGCCCTTCATAGCCTAAATACCCACATACTCAACAGCACTCACCATAAAAAGAATAAGGACCAGGTTCTCAGTCCCTGTGATCATGTAACTTAGTAAGGGGAGACTGGTCCTAGACACAGTGAGGACACAAAAAGCGTCACGCTGACCTTGGCTTCAGACAATGTGGGTTTCAGCCTTTGCTTTGGCACTTGCTAAGCTGTGTGAATGGCGGATGCTTTCATTCATGAGTTTGTTCATTCATTCAACAAATAGAAGATGAAGGAGCCCCAAGAGCCTAAGGTCATCACACCTATTTCTTGTGATTTTGTAACTGCTGCTTCATCAACCCTCTGTGTGGGTTTATGGGCTTACCCTAACAAACACAGGCCCAACAGGATAGATGCCACTCTAACCTCATCCATTTAAACAGGAATAGAGAGCACATGTCCATGCTGATTATCATGCTAAATCCCCACACTAGAAGATCCCGGGGTGCCATGAGACAGCCCATAAGCTGTGCTTCTTGGTCTGCTCCTCTGTGCTCCCCAGAGTCCCCCTTCTCTGGGTCACACATGACCCCATATGAACCATAATCTTTTGTCCCAGGGGGAACTTGAAACTTCAGTGACTAGAATGGCCAGTTCCTGATTTGTAAACTCAAGTTCCTTTCGGCTTGGCTTGGACCTTGCCTTGGAGACCCTGTCGGCATCCCTCCAGACTAGGATACAGAGGTCAAAGGGCTGACAAAGCCTCCCAGGGCCAGGCATGTGCCAGGCCCCGCGTGTACTGGAGTTACCATCTCTTGCCTCATCGACTGCACAGCTGGGAGGAGACATTAGACAAATACATCTGTGAAAAGTATACCTACAACCGTGGTGAGTGCCACCAAGAACAGCCGGAGAGCACCTTCAGAGACCAGCATGGCTGTTGTAGATTTTGGGGGAGGGGGTGGTCAGTGAAAGCCTCCCTAAAAAAGGTGGCACTGTGGTCAAACCCTAAAAGAGGAGCAGGGTTTGGAAGTGGGGGTGGAAAGGAAAATGTTTCAGAGAGGAACAGCACCTCCCAGGCCCAGAGGTGACCAAGAGCATGGTGTGCTCTAGGAACTCAGATGGCTGGTGGGAGGGACAGTGGGGCTGTTCTTGTGAAACCCAGAGAGCAAAGCTTCTGGTGGTCACTGTGTTGCTGCTTCTAACTCTAGTGCCCAGGCACATCCCGGGGCATAGTAGGTGCACAAGAAATCCTGAGCTGCAGACCCAGGAGAAGCCCGCCCGGCACCGACACCAGGCACCGAAGGGACGGCTTATCTTCAGTGGCAGGAGACAGGAAGGCTTTGTAGAGAAGAATATTTTAGCTGCACTTTGAAAGACAGCCATGCTGGTGAGAGGCAGGTGGCAAAGGAACCTGGGGACAGAGCAGCATGATCGAGGGCAGAGCACAGCGAGCCTCTGGGTGCTGAGTGGGGTGTGTATGGGGGAAGGTCACACGGAGGGCACTGGGCGCCAGACCGAACAGTGTTTTGAATGACTGGCAGTGGAGACATCTGTGGTCTGCCCTGTCACATGGGCTCGCTCCCTGGCTGGAGTGACTCAGGATGGGCAGGTAGCCAAGCTGGGGAAGACCTGGCTCTGGGAGCTGCTTGGCAAGGCCTAGCCCGACTGCTGGGGGCTCTCAAGTCCATCAGTGGAGGACATCAGAACCCAAAGCTGTGGCCCCAGCACTGGACAAGCCTCCCCCGCCAGCCTCCGTGCTCACATTTGAGCTGATCAACCACTACACAGGCGCCGCGGGGCCCTGGGAAGCGCAACAGGAGAGGAACCGCAAAGGCTCTGGAGAGGCGCCCTGCTCCCGGGGTCAGGGAGGATGACTGTGCGAGGGATCCAAGAGAGAGGACAACAAGTTTCTGCAATGTGAACAGGAAACAGACAGAGGATGGTGACGGCTACACAGGTGACGGGATGAGAGTGGATGGTGGAGGCAGAAAGGAACAAATCTGAAAGAGACTGGAAGAAAAACCAAACCAAACCAAAACCCCAAAATCCCAAATCAGGGACTGTGAGGGTGGAGCAAAAGAGGAAGGGGCCAGGAGACCAAGGGCTACTGGAGGATTTGAGTCCTGCTAATCCAAAGACCACCACAGCCTGCTCCTTTCCTCCTTTCAGTTGTTCCCACTGGCAGGGCATACCTTTGACATTTTCTGGATCTCAGGAAACTACAATCTCTTACTTTGAAGATCAGTTATTTGCTGTGTGCCTCTAGGCAAGTTACTTAGCCTTTCTGGGCCTTGGTTTCCTTGTTTATTAAATGAAGACAATAGCATCTGATTTACAATGCTACTGTGAAGATGTATAAATTATTTAGAACAATGACTAGCGCATGGTAAGTATTCCAGAAAATAAACCAGCAGAATCCTATGTATATTCAAGGTGTGATTAGTAATGCAAATGGTCTTATTTCTCAGAGAAGGAAAGAGGTTGATTGAACAGTCAATCAAGGTCACACAGCCAGCATCAGTGGCAAGGCCAGATGTGGAACGCTGTCCTTCTCAGGCTTGGTCCTGTGTTCCTCTGACTAAGCAGAGAGATGGTCTCATACCCACCACCGGGCACCATGACAAGGAAAGAACCTCATGGAAGTCCAAGGGTCCATGTCACGCAGGGCGCTTTACGATGAGCCATCCCCTGGAAATCCTGGTACCACAGGCCAGAGGCTGATGCCAATTTAGTGATTATTTAATACGTTCATGGAGTCTCGGGTTTAAAAAATAAACGACTCCCCCCTTCTTGGCTCCTAGCTTGATGTTTTCAACTGGGTCAGGGCAATGCTGATTCTGCGTGGCCTGGACCCAGGCCTCTATCAGTGGCGCCTGACCTCAGAAGGGGGTTTGAATCATCCTCGTCTGACAGGAGCTCATATGCTTTCCTCCTGAATGCCATTTATGATCCAAATTCTAGGGTATTATGTGAAAATAAAAAAGGTACCACTTTTCCCTTCAGGCTGGTTGTCAAGCAGTGTGGAGCTGTCTCTAATTGTCACTATTGAGCTATCACAGCCGCATCACATGGCAGTTTACACAACGCCCTCCCAGGCTGGGATACTGACAAGGCCCTGGAGATCACGGTCATAAACCGCCAGGTGAGAGGTGCACACACGTCACACGTGAGGGACTGTGGCTGCCCCCTTCAGCAGAGGGGTGCAAGTGCTCGTCGCTGCCGGGACCACTGCTCTCCCATGAAGAGCGAGCGGCCCGCTCAGACAGCAGTCACAGACGGTTTGTCCTGTCAGCTACTCAGGGCCTCAAGACTTCCCTGGGTAAGGCAGTGACCCAGCTGAATGCTCCAGAAGGAGCACACTACTCAGGATGGACCAACTGGCAGGGAAGCTAGTCACAGGAAGGACAGGCCACACCCTCCTGAGCGGCAGGAGCCAGCCCCCTGCTCACCATGGGCACTCCTGGCTCAGGGCGGGGGCGAGTTCCCTGAGGAGGGCACACCTGCTGGCTCTGTGGGGGGGCGGACAAGGAGGAGCAGTCAAGGGCATCGCATCAACCATGGCTCTCTGACCTTGCGAGGGCTCTAGCTCTTCACTCTCCCAAGATCCTGAGGCAGCCATCCTACTGTCCCATGGTGCTGCTGAGAACAGGCCCCGCCCTGCCTCACTTCCAAGTCCTTCCTCCTCTGTCACTCTGGATCCTAGAGATCTGAGCTCCCTAAATCTTAGGACTGTGTGCTCAGGGAGTCCTTTGCTTGGTTCTTGGGGCCTCTCCACGTGTTCATCTGTATTCTGTTTCTTTCCAGGTTATTTCAGTGTCTCCAGCTGAGGCAAGGAGCGGGTGCCCAGGATCAGTTACTAAGGGGTGCTGTTCCATGGCTATAAGACTGGTGTCAGAGAGCAAGGGGGACAGGGATGGAGAAGAAGCATGCTGTTCCAGTGGTCAGTGGACCATAATGTCTGGAATCTGGACGCCATCTTGTGGGCCAAGGGGAGCCACACAAGATTGAAGGGCAAAGGAATCCACCTGCATCTGGGGACAGACTTGGACCCGAGGACAGAAACTTGGCCCTGAAGCAGACAGTAGCAGTGAGGAAACGGGAGGAATTCTCAACAGGTGGATGGGACAGGATGTGGCAAGAGAATGGATAGGGAAGAAGCTGGTTTTGTTAGCTGGGGGGAATGTAGGAGGCTACCAAGAAGCCTCATGTGAAACAACGCTTCCCAGCTGTGGACTCCCGGGAGACCCTGGAAGCCAGAGCCACAGCTGTAAGAATGGAGCTCTGGTCACAGTGTGTGAGGCAGGCACAGGTCCAGGGCCTGACAAAGCATACGGTTGACACACACCAAAGGGAGCAACGTTCTAGGAGGAATGCGGGCACCTCCCAACACACACAGACGCCTATGGATCTCCAACTCTGTCGCTGATCTTTGACATCAATGGATCTTTCCTATAATCGAGATTTTCAGGCCCAAAGTGTTAGTCTAATTTAAAAATTAAATACACCTCTAAAGTACAGAGTCAATTCAGAAAACACTATAGAACTGATAAACTGAAATTAGACCTCAGAAGAATTAGGTCTTTGACTTATACTGACAAGCTCTAATTAGGAACTTATTGCGAACCAAGCATCTCTAAGTGCTGGACGTACAAGGTCCAACGTATCTGACATTATTCTCTGAGTCTTAAGGGACAGCTACTGATGCTCTAACTGCAAGTGAGGTCAATCTTGAGAGGATGCCTTTATGGATTCATTCATTTAAAAGAAGCAGGAAAAAATGGGAGTTTTTTCAGTTGTAAGGAGCATTGCCACTTGGCTGCTGAGTTATAGGTCCTTATCACAGCTGCAGGAAAGTAGGGCATCGCCAGGGTCCCTGAAGGTGACTGCCTCTGCTGTTTGACACTGTGTCTTTCCTATTTGCAACACTGGCCTCAGGTCACAGTGATCGAGGTGGCAAACTGGTGAAGGACAAAAGAGCACTCTGGGTACTGATAATTCGGAAATGTGGGTGGTGTGGACATGGAGCTCTGTTTGGGAGGCACAAAGAAAGGCTGATCTCCAGAGACGAGGCCCAGGCAGGAGGGTGACTGCAGAGCTCCAAGTCTCTTTGGAAGCATGTAACTAAAAGCATAAAAGGCATGTGCCAGCCGGGCGCGGTGGTGCACACCTGTAATCCCAGCAACTTGTGGGGCTGGTGCAGGAGGGTTGTCAAGTTCCAGGCCAGTCTCAGCAACTTAGTGAGAACCTATTTTAAAAGAAAAAGGATTGCGGACTGCAGTTGTGGCTCAGTGGTAGAGCACTTGCCTAGTATGTTCAAAGCACTGGGTTATATTCCAAGTACCGTGAAGAAGGAGGGAGGGAGGAAAAAACAGGATGATGTCTTTCTAGTACCAAAGAGGGAAAGCTTCAAAAAACAACGCACCCCCATTATTTTGCAACAAATTGCATTCTTGTCAGGGAACATCTTAAGGTTATGATCAATACAGAAATCTTCAAGACGTTTATCTAACCAATGGGGACTGGCAGCTGCACTGCAATGGGCTGGGTGGGGAGAGGGTGAGAGAGGCTGCAGTGCGCTCTCCGCACTGCGCTCTCCTCCCAGCAGTTTGTGGCTGTGTTGAAGCCCTTACTATATACCATACCCACTGTTCACAGTTTCCACAGACACTCTTTGGCAGATTTCTTCTGCTCAAGTTGCTCAGAACAGGGCAGCACGAACTCCAGGAACATCAACTAAGAACTGTTTGCTAAGAGACTCCCAAGAGAAAGCAGGCTGCCACCTGGTCAAGGGGACGCACATCAACGACCCTGACACAGTGGGGCACGGGATGCAGGAGTGAGGCCTGGAGTGCAGACAGCTGCAGCAGGTGGAGGCCGGGGCGTAAGGTGCTGTTCCTCATAAAGATCAGGGCTGGCGACAGGGCCAGGCCTGGCTCCCAGAGAACCCCAAATCCTGCATGGCGGGAATGTCAAGTGCCAGGAATGAGGGGTGAGGGCCGAGGCCAGAGCAGCCAGATGTCAGAGTCCCCAGGGAAACGAAGGTCATGCCAGAAACCTGGACTTTGCCTCAAGAACTGAAGCAGGGGACAAAAGGACTGGATTTGTGGTTGACAGACACCTCTGGCAGCAGCGTGAAGAGCAGCTTGCAGGTGCCTAGGAAGTGAGCTGGAGGTTCCTAAACTAGAACTTGACATGCCCTGGACACAGAGGCTGTGGGATGGTCAGGGGTGACCGAGCACCGAGCAGCCTGAAGGAGGGAGAGCGACAAGCCTTGGTGATTCAGCAGATACGGGGTGACAGAGCTGTTAAGGAGGATTTCCATACAAGAAGGGCAGTGGGTGAAAGGTGGCAGATTTCATGTGGCTTAAGAAAATTTTGATGGCATCTGCGATGTCCATATCCTCAAGTAATATCTGAATAATCCTCACTGTAACTTAAGAATTAATGATTGGACTGAGTAGCTGATGGTTTTCCACCATCCAAGTGGGACAAAGTCCAACCCCTGAGTCCTGGTTGCCAATCTCCTTCAGACTGGGATTCCAACCTCTCCCACCCATGCCCCCTCCTCAGGCCGCTCCAGGTACAGGTGCTGCACTTCCTTCACAGAGCCTCTTTGCCTAACGTGGGTTGAGCATGCACTCATTTCTCAAGGGCCATCTTCTTACAGAAGACTTTCCTGGGCCTTCTGGCAGTTTCCTTGCTCCCTCTCTTCAGAGCCCTTTACTTTGAGCACCCCCATCATGGTTTTCATACACAACGTAAAACTCCTCTGATTCTTCAAATTACCCTGGAGTTTACTAAGAATAAAGACTCCAGCTTGTTCCTCATTCTGTCCCTGGAGTCTATCCTGAAGAGGCACAGGGTACTTGCAGAGCTGAGCTAGGGTCATGGGGATCAACCCCAGGCTGCTGGAATGATCAGCTCTGAGGGGAAACCAGTGAGCGGGTCCACTGCATGCCCGCCCTCCCAGGGCAAGCGTCCTGTTCCAGGGCTCATACAGCCTTGGCACAGCCCTTTGGGTTGTCCCCAAAGTCATCGCCATAGATATTATTCTGTGAAGGTCCCGCAGAGGTCTACCACTTTCCCAGAAGTGTCAGACACCAGTGAGTGACACAGCTTAAGGATATCTCCTATATCTCAACCCAACACCACCTTCTACACACTGATGAGAAACATCAGCTCACCTTCAGGGGAAAGCCCTGGAAGCCTACCTTCCAGGATGGCATCTTAGCTGATAATCTTCCTCGTCTGGAAACAAGCCCACTATTGGGGGACACATCAGGAGAGCCCTGAGACAAGGCAGACCTAGGATTGCGAGGTCACTGGAAGTGCAGAACAGCTAGTTCCTGAGATGCTGTGGGGCCACGCTGACAGCAGCAGCCAGACAGGTCTACTGCTAGGTCCCCAAAGCCAGCTGGCCCCCCTCCAGGTCTTGGCTGTTCACAGTTCCTCTGACTCCATGACTTCCTCCAGCATCTCTTCCCTCCTTTTGGGGACTTAAGTTGTTTTTTGTAAAACAGAATTGAAAGAATAAGACCTTTGGTCTCTGGGGTCTGCTCATTCAGGCTTGATGCTTCCCTTGTGTCACAGGAGCACTTGGCTCATACCTGGGACACCTGTCTTACCACTCTCAGACAAGTTACCTACTGACCATGACCTAACTGGATGGGCGAGGTGAAACTGCTTCTGCGCCTTGCCCCAGTCATTCATGATTCATTAAATGACCCAGATGACCCAATCAAAGGGGAAAATGTCTGGGGACCAGACGGTGCAGTGTGCAGGTCCTCTCCAGGATTAGGGAGACAGCTGGTGGTAGAACACCGCTCCAGGCTACGTGTGCTGAGACCAGCCAGCACACGGTGGGGGAAGCTGTCACCATCTTAGTGTGTTACTTACACGGTCACCCTGGTTGGCATCAGGCTCTGAATCTGTTGGTAGAGCACAGAAGCAGAACCCATTTGTTATACTCTTGGCTGATGGTTTTTTTTAAATAGCAGACTCTATTTTACCTAGAAGCTGCTATTGCAGGGCTTTCTTATTCCAAAAGTACAGAAATAAGTATGAAGACAGTTTGGGGGTTCTCATTATTATTCTCATTTCCCCTCTATTACCCTTCTCTAAGGTGCAGAGAAAGAATATCTTAGGTAAAGATTAGCAGCTGAGAAGGGCCTAGAGGATGTGCAAGGGCAACACATATCTATATTACCATTTTCATGATCAGGGAGGAGGTGAGAACCGTTACAACAGATTAGGACTTTCAAAAGCTGACAGAAGCCAAACAAGAGTGACATGGAATTTTCTTGTTTCTTAAGGAACTGCTAAGAGCTGACTCCAGCCTGAGTTTGAAGCCACAATCACTATAATCACCTCAGGTTACTCAATACTGTTATCCTGGACTGTGAGTTCACCATTTCCCCCGAAACTAGTATAAAGTTGAATGATCACTGAGGGATTATGAGAAGACTGAGGACTCAGGGCTGGTCCCACTCTACCTGTGGAACCTTCGGGGCATAATATTCTTGCCTAGAAAGTAGGGTAATCACCTACCTTATGGGCCTGTGGAAGCTGAGCTCTCGTTGTAAATGGCATATGAATCTGCATTGTTCTACTTTGCAGGAAACAAAATATTCTGAAACCTCATGACACCACCCTCCAAAGAGGCCGTTTTGTAGTAAGCCCTCTGGATGGAGAAGCATGGGTAAAGACTGGCAAGGGACAGGGAGAGAAAGGGGGAGAACGGCTATTCCCTAGAGCATGGTGCAGGGAAAGAGGGCAGCACTGTGTGGGTGGGCCAGGAAGGGCCCTGCATGCCTTAAGAGTGGATTCCCATGAATGACGTGGGACCAGACTGAAATGTAAGAATAAGCACCCAGCATCTGCTTAGCTAAACCTGGTCCAGTGAAAGTGGTTCACAATGGAGCTATGTCATGTATGTTTATTATAAAGTCAATTACA